ATGCTGGTAGACTGTAGACTATCAAAGGCGTGCCAAACCATTGGCCATTGTTGCCACATAACTAGATTTTTTTTTGCTGCTGGCGAAGTTCCTGTTGCTGCCTATGAAGTTAATATTATTTGTGGCACGAGAGAGAATGTGTTTGCTTATACTAGTCTCTACATGTATATATGCTAGTTGGCAACACTGCTTTTGTTTTCTGCTTGTTTTGTTGCTTTTGCTATTGTATAATGGCATGTTCGGTGGTATAATAACTCTTGTAACTTTGCCGTTGCGATTGGTTAACGAAAGTTGGCACAAATGAGTGTTGAGGCCAAATGCCAACAAAAACATGCAACAACAACAAGCACATGTAGCTGAAACAATAAACAGTTAACTGTGAGCAACACGAATTACTAAAACAAGTTGCAATGAGGAAAGTGAAAAAAAAAGCAAAAACAAAAAACAACAACTCACTGCTACACGAATAATCACAGTAAATGCAATAATACGAGTGTTACAACAAAACAATAACAACAATATAGCCAATGTGTTATGTTGTTGAAATAATTTCGTTAAATACAATTGAGATTGGCAACAAAACGGCTCATCGCCTCAGCGACACGCACACAAACACCAATACGGCATACCGTTATACACATTCTTGCGTACACACGGCCACAGTTATGTAGTGGTTTTCAATGAGCGTTCACGCTCAAACTGCTGACTAACGGTAAATCGTGTATATTCTCTTGGCGCGCATAATTCAAAAGTTGTTGTTGCTCGTATTGTTATTAGTGCCACTGTTGCACTATATTAGTTAGTTGCATTGCCAGCGGCGAGGGAATATGATGGACAGGAAGTTAAATCTATGTGAGTATTCTGTTGGTATTAGAGGTGTTGAGTGTTGGCCGTAATGGGGTTAAGCGCGTTTGAATGTGTTGATGTTTCGCTTTATGGCGTTGCGGTTGCGCTTAGTTAATTTTAGTTTTTTGAAACCATTTTCAAATAATATAGTRTGAATATTCGAAACAAATATACATTTTTAATAAGCTGAGGGGGTTTGCAATACATTTTCTATTTATCGAAACTTTCCAGTAAATAAATATCACATATAGAAGGATAGGGAAGAGACTAACACACAACTTTTTGAGAACCTTTTTTCAGACATGGCATACTGCCATCTTTCTTACTCGAAGTTACTCATCGCAAYCAATTTTATCATTATAACAAAGCTCCTAACGCAGAAAATTCACAATGAGCATTGTTTTCTTTAAACAAAAAAATTGTCTGTAATTCTTAACTGGTCCATGAAGTAATTTTATTATATAGATATACAATCGAAATATTTGCAAAGCATCACAACTCATATTTGATTGGATGATGCGCTGTCGGAAGTTTATTTTTCTTAAAGTTTTCTGTGACGGAATCGTAAAACCGAAAACCGTTAAAGTCCTGTGTATCGAAATTTTAATAATGTGTGATTACGAATGATTTCTAGCTATCTTCGCATGCGAATCTTTAGCCAAACTCCATAATTCTTGTAAGAAACAAAAACTAGCTTGTAGTAGTTTTTGTAGTTTTTTTTTGTCAGTCCGGGTCATTTTTGATCAGATGTTATGAATCTTTCTCAGAACTTTAAAACTGTTCTAAAAAACAAAAAGACAAGTTTTTTTCGAAAGTCGAAGTCAAAATTTGGATGTCTTTTTTTCGCTTTTGYAATTTTTTTTTGTCAGGCCGGGTAATTTTTTATCAGATGTTATGACATTAGCATAGAAAAGTGCTCTAMAATTTAAGCTGAAAGTGTCTATTCCATGTTTCAGTCATATGGTAACCTTGATATTTGGTATTACCAGGTCTTCCTAGGAAATGCATTCGAGAGATTTCTCCATGTGTTTACGACCTTTCCAAGTGTCACTGGTGAGTCTTTTGATTTTACAAAGGTTAAAGTAAGACTTCGCATGTCAATTTAGAATCTTTTTTTCATTATTAGTTTATAATACAGAAATATTCCTGAGAAGAGATCACCTCGGTCTCAGAGAGKGTTAAGAAGCCAGCATTTTATTGGTTGAAATAAACGTTGAGTTCTCAATCCCTAATCGCATTTAAACACAAGAAGGAAAGAAAAGTAGTTTCCTAACCAAAATTTAACTAAATTCCCAAATACTTGTATCTTACAAATCTCTCAAATCTTAATTTATGAGCAAATCGGATAGCTCACAGCGCCAAGCATACATCCATATGTGATTTGAGATGTTACGAGCGCTAAATTAGAATTCGCAAATTGGAAAAAGGATATTTATGCATATGTATGCCAACAACAACCACATAAATGCAAAATTATAATTGTGATTGTATATCTATGCATGTGTTCGTATGTATGTGTAAAAGTCAGCTTTTGCCAAATAAGCACGTCGCACTAACTAAGAAGCTAACGATGACAATGACAATGCCAATAACAGGATATGCAAAAATATTTTGCCGTCGCCAATGCCACAAAGAATTGTGAGTGGAAAATTGCAAAATGCCAAATGCTATTAATAAACGAAGCTAAACAAAGCACTGCAATTGCGACGCTGCAGATTTTTGTCTCGTGCACCTTTTTTCCATAACTGYCCGCCATTTTTGTTGTTGTATCTTTTGTTTTTAATAAACACTCGGACATGCACGAATACGCTTGATGCTCAGTCAAAAAGCAAAATAGACGCCATGTGGCAACATGTGCAGGAGTTGGTTGGTGGAAGCAAACAAAAGGAAATGTAATCATTATTTGCGGTTGTCATTGGTTGCTGCGCATATGTGTGAGTATTTGTGTGTGTGTGTGTGTGCGCGAAGTTATGCTGTTGTTTGAATTCTATTTGGCTATCGAGTTGATGATGAGCAGCCGACGAGTAGCCAGTATTTATGCTTTCAAACATCGACAATGTGTGTGTATGTATGTAAGCGCTGTGCTAGGATAAGTGTATGTGTATGAGTCTCATGTGTGGCAATTGCAAAAACAAACAAGCAAAGCAAAGCAATATCGACAGTGCGATAATGTTTGCAAATAATAAGAATGAGATTGATGAGTAAGCGAGCGCAAAGGGCGCGCAGAGCAACTCAACACGGCTGGCGCAGTCAGTATGTAGTGRRTATAAAAGTTGCAGGCATGCGATTGCAAAGGCAGTAACGGTTGTAAGCATGTTGTTGTGCGGTTGCTGCTGCGGTGGTTGGTAAGTAGATAGGCCAACAGTGCGATTGAGTGGATAAGCCGGAGATGATGGGGATATCGTAAGTGTATGTGTGTGCCATTATTTTGCGTTTGTAGCGCTGTGTGGGTGCACTTGTGTCTTCTGCTAATGCTTGCATCGTTAGCAAATTGCAAATTGTTGTGTTTGCGGTGAACATGAGTACTGGCAAACACATATCGAGTTGATGTGTTGTTACACGCAAATACCGAGTGGCATGTGTCAGCATGTGTGTTAATGTGTATGTCAATGGCTGACTATTTCCATTTTCTGGTATTGAAAAACTTCATTACACATGATTTCGTTATGATGTTTTGACAGCAGTRGCAGCAACGAGGGGGAATTAAGGTAGTTGGAGTTGGTAATCATTAGGTTTAATATATTGAGCTTTTTCGTGGAGAAAGTATAAACCCGKGCTTTAACTTGATGAGTAATTAATTTACGAAGGATGATAATTTTCTCAATTTTAAGGCTTTCTTAAAGAATCATTAAATCAAAATTATATATATTA